GCATATGCATTAGGTGCATATGCGGTGACACTTCCTGGTTCTCACGGCAAAAGGGGTTGGAGGAGAGCAATACACCCTCACCTTCATTGACGCCGGTACGCGCTTCGTTTGGGCCGTGAACGTAAGCAACCGCTACCTCGCCTACCACTGCTTCTATCTGTGGCTCAACATGGAGGAAATGCAGAGCGAGGGGAAGAAGCTGAAGACCTTCCAAACTGACGGAGCACTAGAGTACCAGACAGAGGAGTTCAAAACCCTATGCAGAGAAAAGGGGATTCAGAGGATGATCTCCCTCCCCTACGCTCAGTTCGCCTGCACAACATGCTTTCTTCGAAAGCACCGCCCAACAACACCTCGCCGTTCAAGGAGTGGACCGGCAAAAACCCCGACACACACATGCTGCGGGTTTTTGGGTGCATGGTACAGCACCGCCCCCACACTGCCCGGACCGGAAAATTTGAGGACCGTGCCCGTTGGGGCATCCACCTCGGAATCGAATCCGAATACCATGCCAAGACAATTATGGACTTCGCCACCCACCAACTCACGCGATCAAGTGACTGCATCTTCTACGAAAGGCTGACCCTGCCACTGTACCGACAGCACCGCACTGCACAGAACTCACAGGACAACATTTTCCAGGGACAGCACAGCTACGCCAGCGACGAGGATGACATAGACGTGGCAGGAGAACAGCCAGACGAGACAAGTGGAGACGAGGCACCATTTGTACCCGCTACAGAGGAGTTCGGAACAGCAACCGTTTTCCCAACGGATACTGATCCACGCGAAGCAGTACAGGCACATCATGACTACGCAAGTGCAGAAATGCACTCACCCATGGAGGAAGAACCGGCTCGCGACTCTTCTCGTCACACCGTTCGCGACATCCCTGGCGACGACGACGACGTGGTTGAAGTTACCAACGCAGCTGAATCCAACCTCACCGGCCTTCGCATTCTGGGCCTCGCCGTCGCCATTCGGGGTAACCAGCAGCTGGCCGAGCCCACCACAGTTCGTCAAGCCCTCAGCGGACCCGATGCTGAAAAGTGGAGAGCAGCCATGGCCGCAGAAGTCGCTGCACTCCGAAGGCGCGGCACCTGGAAGCTGGTACCACGACGACACGCAAAGGGGAGGAAAAATCTCACCGGAAAATGGGTTTTTTTTCGGATCAAAACGCTTGCGGACGGCGCTGTTGACAAATACAAGGCACGATGGGTCGTTCACGGCTTCGAACAGACCCAATTCGTGGACTATGACAAAACGTTCGCACATGTCGAACGTCACACCTTCGTACGCATCCTCCTCTGCGTCGCAGCCGTGAAGCAGCGTCCCCTGCGCAAGATCGACGTGTCGAACGCGTTCCTCTACGCGATCGTCGACGCAATCATCTACGTCGAACAGCCGCAGGCTTTCGAAGAAAACGACGACGCTATCTGCCTCTCCCAGAAGTCCCTCTACGGGATCAAGCAGGCACCGCGCCTGTGGCAGCAGTACCTCCACACTGTGCTCATCGAACTCGGATTCCAGCAGCTTCCCCACGATCAGGAGATGTATCGCCTTGAGTCCCGCGGCAGCTTCATCTTGCTCGTCGCCTACGTAGACGACTTGCTCTACACCGGGGACAATGCGGAGCTGCTCGATCGCTTCGAACACAACATTAAAGAAAAGCTCGAGGTGACTATCGACCACGACGTCACTCAATTCCTCGGCCTCAACGTCACCCAGACCGCCGACACGATCCACCTCTCTGCCGCGAAATACGCCGAGACACTCGCTAAACGTTTCGGCATCGCTCCCGTCGGCGTCACCACCCCTTTTCGCATTCCTCCGCCTAATCACGAGCCGGACACCACCCCGCTATCTCCGGCCGACCATCGCCTCTATCAGCAACAGCTCGGGTGTCTGCTCTTCGCCTCCATCACATGCCGCCCGGACCTCTCGTACGCCGCTAGCCAGCTCGCCCAGTACCCGCGCCGACCTGAAGGGGAGAACATTGCGGACCTACGACGCGCCCTACAATATTTCATCTCCACGCCTGACGTCAGCCTTACCTACAAGGCGAATCTAACGGCTACTCTACAGCTTACCGGCTACGTGGATGCTGATCATGTCAAACTTATATGTTGCATGTTGTGTAGGCTGTAGTGGGGTAGCCCATATGGGGTACAACCCAATTAGGGTTTGCTACTTGTACTCTTGCATGCTGTTAGTTCATCCATTCTCGTTCAGTTATTTCGACATGGTTTCAGAGCAGGTCCTCTCCTAGGACCGGTTTTTTTTTTTAGGGCCCACCGTCTAGCTCGCTACCCCACCCGTCGCGCCGCCCTACTGGCCTCGCGCTGCCCTGCCCTGCCCGTCGCGCCGCCCTGCTAGCGCCGCGCTGCCCTGCCCTGCCCGCGCGCCGCTAGTCGCCCGCGCGCCGCCCTGCCCGCGCGCCGCTCGTTGCCCACGCACCGCCTTGCCCCGCGTCGCGCCGCCCGTGCCGCGCTGCCCTGCCCTGCCCGCGCGCCGCTCGTCGCCCGCGCGCCGCCCTGCCCGCGCGCCGCTCGTCGCCCGCGCGTCGCCCTGCCCCACGTCGCGTTGCCCGCGCCGCGCTGCCCTGCCCTACCCGCGCGCCGCTCACCGCCGCGCCGCCCTGCCCGCGCGGTGCTCGCCGCCGCGCGCCCTGCCCTGCCCGTGCGCCGCTCGCCGCCGCGCTGCCCTGCCCGCGCGCTGCTCGCCGCCGCGCGCCCTTCGTTGCTCGCACGCCGCTCGCCGCCGCGCCGCCCAGCCCGCGCGCTGTTTGCCGCCGCGCGCCCTGCCTTGCCCACGCGCCGCTCGCCGCGGCGCCGCCTTGCCCGCGAGCTGCCCGCCGCCGCGCGCCCTACCCTGCCCGCGCGCCTCTCGCCCCTGCGCCGCCCTGCCTGCGTGCCGCTAGCCGCCGCGCCGCCCTACCTGAGCGCCGCTCGCCGCCGCGCTGCCCTAATCTGCATGTGCGCCGCCCTGTTGGCCGCCACCCTGCCTTGCCCTGCTGCTAGCGTGCCCGCCTGCCCTGCCCGCTATGGCAACTCTCAGCGTCCTCACCTTCGATCCGGAGGGCCGCCCGATAGAGTTCGATGCGTGGCTCGATGACTTACAGCTGTTCCTACTGAGCGACTCTAGGGACGGCGTTTCACTGTTTGACCTCACGTCTGGAGCCTCTCTCGCCCCTCCCGCCACAGCTGACAGTGCGATCCGCTCACAGTGGCTTACCCGTGACGCTGCTGCTCGCCTAGCCGTTCGCAACCACCTGCCGTTAGCCGAACGTGCTCACTTCGGACAGCACAAGACTGCTAGAGCCCTGTACGACGCTGTAGTCGCTCGTTACTCCTCCCCGGCCACTGCTGCTCTAGGTCGCCTTCTGCTGCCCTAAATGTTTCCCGAGCTGTCCGCCTTTGCCACAGTTGCCAACCTAGTCACTCACCTTCGCACTAGTGACACTCGCTACCGCGCCGCGCTTCCCGCCAAGTTCCTCGCCAAGAACCCCCCTCCCATGTACATCACTCTGTACTTCATCGTCACCCACCTCCCTGACTCTATTAGCGCAGTCAGGGACCTCCTCCTCGCCCTTGACCCCACAGACCTCACTGTCGACCTACTCGAGAAGCACCTCCTTGCAGCTGAGACCAGCATAGTCGCTGTAGGCGCTTCTCATGGCACTCCTCGCACTCCCTTCTTTGAGGGGTGTTCCCCCTCCCCCCTTGTCCCCTTATTCGCTTCTGCTGCAGCTGTTGACTACCTTCGTGCTGAGGAGGTAGGAGCTGCATCTGCCCCTAGTGGGAGGCGCCGCAGCGGCAGGGGCAAGGGAGGCAGGGGTGGTGGGGGTGGCAGCGGTGGAGGCGGTGGTGGTGGGGGCGGTGGAGGCGGTGGAGGTGGCGGTGGTGGCGGAGAGAGTGGTGGTGGGGGTGGCGGCGGTGGTGGCGGCAGCGGGAGTGGTGGTGGCGGCAGTGGTGGCGGCAGTGGGAGTGGTGGCGGCGGCACTGGTGGCGGCCGGGGTGGTACCAATCAGAGGGGAGGCTTTGGCGGTGGTCAGAGGCAGCAGCAGCAGCGTCAGAGTGAGACCCCTTCGCCCCAGGAGCTTCGTGAGTGGTTTCTCAGCGTGGGGCGTCTGGGGGTAGTGTTCGCTGCCAGTACGTCATTCGCACAGGTGACCGCACTGGTCAGACATGCGGGAAGGTTGGTCACTCACAGTCCCGCTGCTTCTCCCGTCTTACCGACGCCTTTCGCGCAGAGTTTCCCAATGCGACTGAGCTCCCCCGCTGGGCAGAGCTGCTTAGTCAGGGTGTGGATATCTTTGCTCTTGATTATGATGCTATCCTTGCTGCCATGTATGCATTGACTGTTAGTGCTGATTGTGACAGTTACCTGTGTATGCCGCCCGACCCAGGTATAGAGGCTGCTGCTCTAGGTGCTAGTGAGTCTGCTCTCTCTGGTACTGCGCCTGCTGAGGCCTTGCACACCTTCTCGCTTGACTCAGGTGCTTCCCGATGTTTCTTTCGCGACAGTACCACACTCACTCCGCTCCCTGCACCTGTTGCTGTCTCTCTGGCTGACCCCTCTGGGGGCCCAGTCCTTGCACGTTCCTCCACTGTTCTCCCGTGTCCGGCGGTTCCGTCTGGCTCACTGTCAGGTCTTCACCTCCCCTCGTTCTCTACGAACTTGGTGAGCAACGCCGTCCTTCAGGATGTATGGGTTGACACCTTTACTCCAGGAGGACAGCGTGTGGCGATCTGTACGTGCTCCCGGACTGGCCGGCACCTGGCCACGTTCACCCGTCAGCCTGGGTCGAGTCTGTACACACTGACTACTGTGTCTCCTCAGATAGCTGCGTCTGCGTCTGCGTCAGGTCAGCTAGCATCCCCCTACTCGTGTCGCGCTCTGTCGCGCCAGACCCTCCTTTGGCACCACCGCCTTGGTCACCCCTCAGTGCAGCGCCTCCATGGCATGCACTCCCGTCTCCTTGTCTCTGGTCTTCCCAGGTCTCTGCCTCCCCTCCCACCCTCGCCTGCCCCTCCCTGCCTTCCCTGTGTCGAGGGGCGGCAGCGCGCCGCTCCTCACTCCTCCTCGTTTCCCCCGACGACTGCTCCCCTGCAGACTCTCCACATGGACGTGTGGGGCCCAGCCCGCGTCCGTGGACAGGGCCGCGAGCGTTACTTTAGTATAGTCCCACACCTGTCAAACTATAATGTATATAGTTTGTATGTTTAGTATAGGTGGTGTACATTTCTATTAGTCATAGGGTTAGGTTTCCTATATCTTTCCTGTTTGTTCATTCCATAGTCATTCTTTCTCTAGTTTATTCCTTGACATGGTATAGAGCACGAGCTCGTTCCGATGGGCCCACCGCCCCGCGCCCCGCCCTAGCCCGTTTGTGCCCCGTCGACAGTAGCGCCCCGTCACCCCGTCGCCCGTAGCGCCCCGTCCCCCCGTCGCTCGTTATCACCCCGTCACCCACCCACGCCCCGGTTAGGTCGAGCCCGCACGCCCTCTGTCCGCTGCCGCGTCGTCCCGCGTGCACCCCGTCACCCCGCCAGTTAGCACCCCGCCCCTCTGCCCGCTTATCGCACGTACGCTCCCCACCACCCGCTCGCTCCCCATCGTCCTGCACCCAGACCGCTGCCCGCACGCACCCCGTCTCCCACTCGCTTCTTGCCCCCGTACGCACTCAGCAACCCGCTCGCACTCCGCCACCCGCTCGCTCCCCGCCGCCCCGCACCCCGCCGCCCGTACGTACCCCACACCCAGTACTCACCCCGCACCCCGAACGCACCCTGCACCCCGCTCCTGGACGCACTCCGTCCGCACCTCGCACCCCGCCGCCCGTACGCACCCTGGCCGCATACCGCTCTTGTACGCACCCCGTACCCCGACCGCACCCCGCGCTCGTACGCACCCAGCACCAGGACGCTCCTCGCCGCTCGTACTCACCCGGCACCCCCCGTTCATCCGAAGGCCCCGCGGCCCCCTGCTAGAAGGCCCCGAGGGACAAAACTAGAAGGCCCCGCGGCCCCCAGCTAGAAGGCCCCGAGGCCCCCAGCTAGAAGCCCCCCCCCCCCCCTCCCCCCAAGCTAGAAGGCCCCCCCCGTCCCCCGGTTAGACGGCCCCGCGGCCCCCAGCTAGACGGCACTCCGCACCCCGTACCCCGGACGTCACCTGCACCCCATCGCTCGTACGCACCCCGCACCCCGTAGCCGCCCTCCACCCCATTATATCGCTCTTCACCGCACTCGACCGTACCCAACTGCACTCGACCGCACCCGACCGCACCCGACCGCACTCGACCGCACACGACCGCTCCTAGTTGTGACAATGGTACCTGTGGAATGAATGCTTAATGAATGAGAGTACAAAGAAGATATCTATCCCTAATCCTAGGTCAAAAGCAATACACCTAGACTACATCAACATAAACTAAAAATATCTAGTTTGACACACCCCAATAGTCTTAAGTGACGGTAGGCCTGTGGAAAGGAACACACAGTCGGAGAGCAAGGGTCACAAGACCAGTTCACAAGAACAAAAAAAATCTCGGGGTGGATCTCAATATCACCACGCAGTCCAAGAACAAGCAAGAGGCCACAAGGCCAGTCCATATGCAAGGACATAGCAAATATAGAAGATGCAAGAGTACAAAACATGGATGACAAGCACCTTTACAAAAGCAAGGGGCCACAAGGCCAGTCCACAAGCAGAGATATAGGATATATAGTGAGATGCAAGTGTACAAGACAAATCATCTCTACACAAGCAAGTGAGGGCCGGTAGACACAAGGCCTAGCAGGGTGCAGAAACGCTGGTGGTCACAAGGCGGCAACGCCTTGGTGAAGATATCTGCAGTGTTGGTCTCAGAGACCACACGTCGCACGAGTGCCTGGCCACGCTGCTGCAACTCTCGCAGAAGGAAGTAACGAAGCTAGATGTGCTTCGCCTTCTCAACCAGTTGGGGCTCCTCGCACAACAGGACAGCAGACATGTTGTTGGCGAACAAGACTGGGGGAGAGCGAGGTCGCTCACCAAGGTCGGTGAGGAGGAAAGACAGCCAGCGAAGCTCCTAGCCGGCCATGGCCGCAGCGTACACCTCTGCCTCATTGCTGGAACTGGAGACGGACGACGCCCGAGTCGACCTCCACGAAACAGCTCCGGTCCAAAGGCTGAAGCAGTAACCCTCTATAGACCTCAGCGACTCTGCGTCGTCGGCCCACGACGAGTCCGAGAAGCCTGTGAGTGTAACTGGCTGCTTCCGTCCAAGGACAAGTCCCATGCCTGATGTACTCGCCACATACTTCGCCACCCTCTTAGCAGCGTACCAGTGGGAAGGTCGGTGTCTCCCAGGCGCAACAAAGCGTGCAAGGACGCTAAGAGGGTAAGCTAGGTCCGGGCGAGTACAGGTCATCAGGTACATAAGACAACCCACCAGCTTAGGATATGGACCACTGGACTCAAATGGCTCGTCCGAAGGTGGAGCCGTGAGCCCATGATTCACAGCAAGAGGGGTGAGCTGTACCTTGGAGAATGGGAAGCGAAACCGAGTGAGGATCTGCTCGACCATATGCGACTGCGTCAGCGTAATGGTGCGAGCTACCCTGTCCCTGGTGATCTGCAGGCCAAGGTAGTGCTGCAGCTCACCAAGGTCAATGCAAGTGTGTCTCCTCTGCAATTCCTCCTTCACGGAGGCCAGTGCGCGTCGGTCGGGAGTGGCGAAGTCCAGGTCATCAACGAAAACTAGAGCAAAGAACGGGGTCGAGCCACGGCGGACGAACAGTGACGGGTCAGCAGACGACGGATAGAAGTCAAGTGCTACAATAGTCGTGCGAAGTATGTCGTGCCACTCTCGGGGAGCCTGGCGCAGGCCGTAGACCGGTCGACGCAGCTGCTACTGGGTCCCAGCAGGGAAAGAGCCAGTGAAGCCAGGCGGGCAACGCAGCCAGATCTGCTCGTGCAAACTCCTCTGAAGGAACGCTGTGGAGAAGTCCAAGGAGTGCAACTCGTAGCCACGCTGAGCTGCGATATGCAGCAGCACCCGAAGAGTGGCCATCTTCGGGGTGGGAGCAAAGGTCTGGAAGAAGTCTACCCCCTCGCGCTGACTGAAGCCTCTCGCCACATAGCGCGCCTTGAACATCGGTGGTGATTCAGGCGGCCGCTTCACCTTGTAGAGCCACATGCCACTGACGACGTTCGTCCCAGGCGGTGGGACGGCGTCGACGTAGGTGCATGTGGACCTATAAGATGCCATTTCTGCCTCCTCAGCTGCTATCCAGTACGAAGCCCAGGGTCCCGAGACTGGCGTGAGTGCGAGGGATCGGGATGCCAAGGGCGTCTAGATCCCCCTCAGGGGCAAGCAGCATGGCGCACAGATGAGGAACAGTGGCCGCCAGGAAACCAAGCTCGAACTGCCTGTCCTCGAGGACCTCCAGGGGAAAGACATGAGCACCCCCAGAGGACAGAGAACGAGCAGGGCCACTCACCATGTGAGCGGCGTAGTCAAGGCAGTGGGAAGAGGCAAAGCCAGTGACAGTGGTAACAAGAGCTGAGACAGACGGCGGGGGGGCATTCGGGTGAGTGACCAACGCGGGCAGAACACGGGAGATGACAGGACGGGAGGCACGGAGGTATTTGGACAACGGGTTGTGAGACACTGTGAGGGACGACTCTGGGGGCTGTAGAAGGACCCGGGGGGGGGTGGAACACGAGAGCGGAGAACAAGGTGAAACGGACCGGCTGCACGGTAACAGGACCGACGGGGCTCTGGAGACACAGCACGACTGAGGGGAGCACGACGAGCCCACGGGGACGAGGAAAGGGACTGGACAGGGGGGACAGGAGGGGACGGTAGGGGACCACAAACCCAGCGTGCAGGTGCTGGGTCGGGTAGGTCACGCAGTCGCTGCTGCTCCGCCTCCTCTGGCGTCTGCTGCGACGGCACCTGCCGATGGTGCTGTGGCTCCTCCTCTGCCCTCTCCTGTCGCGACCGTGACTCCACCTGCCGTGACTCTCGCTCTACCCTCTCCTGCTGCGGCCGTGACTCCTCCTCTACTCACTCCTGCTGTGGCTGCATCTGCACGTGCTGCTGCAGTCGTAACTCCTCCGCTGCTCTTTCCTGCTGCGGCTGTGACTACTCCTCCACTCTCTCCCACTGTGGCTGTGGCTCCTCCTCTACCCTCTCAAGACGATGCGACTGAGACTGCTCCCGCTGCCTCTGCTGCTGCTGCTATTGTTGTTGCTGCTGCTGCTGCTGCTGCCGTGCCCTCTTAAACCGCTCTCGCTCCTCCCTCTCCAACCGGTGTAGACGCTGCTCACGGGTCAGGAAACGTACAATGTGAGTTGTAGGCGTCGAAGTGCCCGTGCCTCCGGCTCCAGCACCCCCAGAACCAGAACCTCCAGCAACGACACCCCCGGTGTCTCCAGTACCTCCCGCAGGAACACCCCCAGGCTCTGCAGCAGCCGGTCGCAGAGCCGAACGAGGAGGGACAGACGGGAAGCCATGGTGTGAGGCGGGGCGAGGGCGCCGAGTCGAGACAGCCGTGTCCTCCAGAGGAAAGGTCTCCGCCCTCACACCCCCTGCACCCCCAGAGCCGGCACCACCAGGTCCAGCAGCCCCAGTACCCCCACCCTCCGCAGCCCGCACCCCCAGACACGACAGAGACTGGACGCTGCGGGGGAGACGACTGCGGAATGACGTGCGACACACCTGGCGGGGCAGGACGCGAAGTGGGGGGGGCTACCGGGGCGACGAGGGGGGGCTCAGGGGTGAGGAACAGTGGGGGGGAAAAGGCCTCAGAACCTTGGTGGGCGTGACTCGGTAGTAATTGACCGACTCGTCGAAAGTGACGTCCTGAGAGGCGAAGAACTCGCGGGTGAATGGGTCGTAGAACGCCCAGCCAGAGGAGTCGAGTGTGAAGCCAAGAAAGACACAGGCACGGGTGCGAGCAGACAACTTGTTCGCGCCAGGGCCGCGAACGTGGGCCAGGGAGCCCCAGACACGGTAGTCGGCTGCTACACCCCGAGACCCTATCCACAGGAAGACCGGCGTCACCCGTGGCCGTGCGTCACTGGGCCACAGGTTCAGCTGGTGCGCGGCGTAGCGGACGGCCTGGGGCCACAAGAACTGGGGGGCACTGGCATGGCACAGGGAGGAACGGGCAACCTCCATGACCAGGCCAATGCGTCGCTCAGCGACCCCGTTCTGCTGCGGCGAGTCTGGTAGCATGTAAGACTGGGTGATCCCCTGACCCTCACAGAACAACCTCAGGCGAGTTGAAGCAAACTCACCACCACGGTCCGAGTGTAGACGGAGTCCACGCAGGCTCTGGGCGCCATCCCTCGCTAGTAACCACGGCTCTAGGACATCAAGCACGTCGGCCTTCCGTCGCAACGGTAACACCGTGGTATAGCTCCCGACGTGGGCCAATTACCGGGAGTAGCGCTCCTGACGTGGGCCAATTACCCGGGACGGGCCCCAGACGTCCAAGTGCAGGGTTTGAAAGGGAGCCATGGTGGGGGGGAACGAGGAGGAGTGAGGGGTAGCGCGCTGCCGACCCTCGACGCAAGGAGTGCACGGCGGCACAGGCGAGCGGGGAAGCGGGGCGAGCGACTCTGGGAGACCTGACACTAGACGGTGACGTACCATCTTACTGAGACGCTGGAAGGACAGGTGACCTAGACGGTGGTGCCAGACGGCCCACGGGTGGGTGAGTGACCGACAGTCGCACAACACAGCAGCTACCTGACCTGACCTGACCTGACCTGACCCAGTGTGGTAGGACTCATTGTGTAGTGAGACCAGAGCCCGGGTCCCTGTGGAAAGTGGCCAGAGGCGCCCCAGTGGCACCGACTGTGCAGGAGGCAACAGGCTCGTCTTGAGGGAAAGTGGTGACTACACCGAGGTCGTGGAGGTGACTGACACCCACCAGGTTCCTGGAGAACGAGGGGGTGTAGTAACCGGTGAGAAACCCAGAGGTAGCCTCCAGACACGGGAGAGTGGTGGTGCTGTGGGCA